GTGGTGGTGGTGGTAAGTACTGACTTCGATCTCCTGGAAGGAGCTGGACATCATGGCGATGAGCATGTTGAGTAGGACGATGATGGCCATGGCGTGGTAGGCCATGAAGAGCAGTTCGCCCACAGTCATGGTGAAGCTCTGGGTGGCCTCGATCTCCAGCTTGCTGGGCGTGGTCAGGCTGAACATGGACCAGAACAGCGTCACGTAGCTTTTGAACAGCCTGGAACGACACGACGCGAAATACGATGAAGAAGAGAAGAGAAGAGGCACACGTAGTTGTTCAAGTAAGAGTTGCACGGCCCTTGCAATACAATAAGGTCATATAAGTGCCGAAGAAAATGTTTGTTTAGTAGAGGTTTTACGGCACTCGCAACTGCATAAGGTCAAATGAGCGCCAGAAGGTTAGAAGTTTTACAAGAGAGTAACAAACACAAAAAAGAAGGAGGAGAGATAAAGATGATAGCTGTTTGATAGGAAAGAAGAAGCAAAAGCCACACCAGAGCACTCGCCAACCACCCATAGGCATATGAAGTTTGAGTTTTTTTAGTCTTAGTAAGAGTTTTAAGGCATTTACAACACAATTAGGCTAGATCTATACACGTGCCGATAATAAGAAGTGTTACCAGAGAGAAACATACAAAAGAAAAGAAGTGGAGAGATAAGGGCGAGAGGCGAAAAAAGGAGCTAGCCTCACCAGGGCATGACGTTTTAGTTGTGGTAATGAGAAGCACATAGACACAATAATAGACCCCAATTAACAAGTAGTGCAAGGAAGGAAAATGTAAGACATACAGAAACAACCAAAGGAAAGGAAAAACATAGCGTGATTAGTAGAAGTAACCTCCAACCATCCACAACATTAAGATGAGGTTAGGTAAGATCAGGTAAAAAGTAGTTATTGTGAGATGAAAAAAGACCATGCAAGCAATCAAGAGATGAAGGTAATATGATATGAGATAATGCAAAAAGACTTCAATTATTGTAAGATGAGATAAGATAATGTAAGAGGTAACATGAAATAAGAAAAGGCAAAAGAAGGTACGGTGTGTTAGGACTAGACGAAATAACTTGTAAGGAGAAGCTGTATAAAAGTAATATGAAATAAGATAGTATGCCAAGGAGAACTCTATCATGGCAATTGTAAATTATATATATGGTATCTTTGGACGACGTTGGAAAATGTTCCCCAAAGTCCCAATCAAAGTCCAAGTGGCCATGTTATGTTTTGAAAGATTTCACACAATCAATATTCAAATCAAAAGCACTAGAAGCATTTTTGGTATGAGGCAAAATGTCTTTGAATTGTGGGATAGCAATTTAAAAAAAGTTCTAGTAGAGGTTTTATGGCGCTCGCAATTGCATAGGGTCATATGAGCGCCAAGGGGTGGATGTCAACAGAGAAGTCCTTATAGGGAATCCGACTTACTCTGCTCACCTCTCTAGCTTCAACAGCACAAAGTCTGCTTCGACAGTCAAGGCACCCCGAAAATAGCGGGTTACAAGAGTGTGACAAATATACAAAAAAAAGTTGAGGAAAATGACGAAAGTAAGGATTAGGAAAGAAAAAGCAGCAGTTCCCTGTTGCAGTTCAGGCACATTTATGAGCTTGGCATTGTTGGATCAGCCCATTTACAATTCTGCTGTGCATTAGAACGAGAAAGGTCCCCACTTTGGGAATGGCCTAAAGACACTTCAGTCAGTGGCACCGCCCCGGGGGGTAGATAGCAATATCATGTTTTTTTCCTAAAAAGTTCTGCAACATCTCTCCGCTCGGGGAAAAGCAAAATTAACCTACAGAATGATGGAATGTTCCACCTCTGTGTCTGAGGCACAGTACTGAGGCAAATACAAATAATTAAAGTTCTGACTAATATCTCCATAGCAACCGACCCATTTTCTAAAACGGCTAAAAACCACAAAGCATACTTTCAAGATTTTTAAATTGATTCTCGGACAGAGATAGTTTACGTGGTAAACCCGAAGCACTTCCGTGTTTTAATATTGATCCCGCAAAGTTTGCTCTCGACCAGACTTTCGTCAACAGGTGAGGAAAAAGTGAGTGAGAGACTTAACCAACAAATAAATAAATGAATAAATAAATAAATGAGTAAATAAATGAATAAATGAATGAACAAACAACAAGACAAACAAACAGACAAACAAACAGACAAACAAACAAACGAACGAACGAACGAACGAACGAACAAACAAACAAACAAACAAACAAACAAACAAACAAACAAACAATAAATAAATAAATAAATAAATAAAAAATAGAATCTAAATAAAATTGGGGTTATCTGTGGAACATAACAAGTTTTAACAAATCAATTACTGTTGCTCAGCCTGGTGTGCCTTGTGGACCGAACAGTCGAAACGAGTTACAATTAGTTGGATTCACCGATTGCTGGAACCACTTTTTCTGATGTTTTAACCAATACTTTGTTTTAAAAAAAATTGTTTTATCATCCATTCACTACGATTTTCCATTTTCAAAAATTCACCTACCTCTACACTCACTCTCTCTTTCTTTCTCTCCCACCCCCTCCACCCCC